CATCTCTCCGTTTCTGGCACTTTCAGTGTCCACTCTGTGCCAACTCCTGGGTCTAACACGGGCCTCCCCACGGCCCCCAGGAGAGCAAACTCAACCTAGCCATGGAACTTTCCAACATGGTCATTTACTGCAAGAGCGTCCACTTCGAGGGCTTTGCCAGGCCCGGCGGCCACAAACAGGCTTTCTATGAGATGGCATCCTTCTCAGAGAACCGCGCCTCCCGACTGGTCCAAGAGTCAGGTGAGCACCTGCCCTGCTCCCGAGGCGGCTCTCCATCTGCCTGGCCATCTGGCCGGCCATCTGTCAGAGCCTCACTGAGAGGCCTCCAGTTCTGACTGCCCCCACCACCCTCAGGAAACAACTTCGTCCTTCACAACGTGGCCCACCTGAGCAGAATCTACCCCGCCAGCTGGAGGACGGATTCCTCCAACTACAACCCCGTGGACATGTGGAATGCAGGCTGCCAGATCGGTAGGGGTCAGCTGGGACTGAGGCCTCGATGTGGGTTTTGGTCCTGAGGGGTCAGCTGGGACTGAGGCCTCGATGTGGGTTTTTTTTGTTGTTTTTGTTTTTGTGCATGTACCGTCAAATCAGATCTGACTGGTACAGGAGGAAATTGCCCCTCCTTCTCCGGCAGAGCATCTGGTGGATTCGAACCGTGTACCTTTGGGATTGCAGTACAGCTTCTTGCCACTAGGCCACCAGAGCTCCCCTGTATGTGGGTTTTGGTCCTGAGGAGTGGGGTCCAGGAGCTCTGGAGGCTGTATGCAGATGGTGGAAAGTCTAGGATCCCACCTAAGGCCAGATGTCAGGGCTTGTGGGCTCAGGAGCTGGTAATCTGGGCACTTCAGCTTGGAAATACCCTCCCATACCCAGCCACAGTGTCTGAAACCCACCGTTCACACGGCAGTTCTTTGAATGCTGACATCGGTGATGGAATGTGTGCGATTTGTGAAGTGGGTCAGTTAGGGAGGGCAGTAAGTATTGGAGGAGACCCTACTTTTGATGCCCCACGTGAGCCTTGACCACAGGGGACCCTGAGTGGACAGTGCTGAAGGGCCCTCTCCATGCCCAGCCACAGCCTGTGACTGCCCTTCCTGTCTGCAGTGGCCCTGAACTTTCAGACCCCTGGGCTGGAGATGGACTTGTACCAAGCTCGCTTCCAGGACAACGGGGCCTGTGGGTACGTGCTGAAACCTGCCTTCCTGCGAGACCCCAGCTCCACCTTCAACCCACGTGCGCTGACCCGGGGGCCCTGGTGGACTGAGAAGCGGCTCACTGTCAGAGTATGAAGGGACCGAGGTGGGGCAGGTGCCTGGGGGGAGCTTCCGTGCCTGCTCGCTGCCATCCCTGAGCTCTTCACTGTCCCCTGTCTGTCCTCAGGTCATCTCGGGGCAGCAACTTCCAAAAGTCAACAAGAGCAAAAATTCCATTGTGGACCCCAAGGTGATAGTGGAGATCCACGGGGTGGCCCAGGACGCGGGCAGCCAGCAGACCGGCGTGGTCACCAATAATGGTACGTGTGGGGCCTGGGTCGGGCTCACGCGCTGGAGCTGGGGCGGATGCTGGAGCTGGGGCGGATGCTGGAGCTGGGGCAGATGCTGGAGCTGGGTCGGATGCTGGAGCTGGGTCGGATGCTGGAGCTGGGGCGGATGCTGGAGCTGGGGCGGATGCTGGAGCTGGGGTGGATATGGATCTTCCTCTTCCTCCTCTAGGCTTCAACCCTAGGTGGGACTCCGAGTTTGAGTTTACTGTGTCTGTACCCGAGCTCGCCTTCATCCGCTTCATGGTGGAGGATTACGACCTGTCTTCTAAGAATGATTTTGTTGGACAGAGTACCATCCCCTTGAACAACCTCAAGCAAGGTGAGTGTCCACCTGAGGGAAGGGCGGCCACGGCAGGGCAGGCCGGCCTAGCATCTCCTGGACTGGCGGCTGGCTGGCCTTAGTATGTCCTCCGGAGTGACCGGAACTATGCGTGCTCCTTTCTGCTCTCCACTTACACCTGTCCTCCTTCCCCCAGGATACCGCCATGTCCACCTCTTGTCCAAGAATGGAGACCAGTATCCATCCGCCACCCTCTTTGTGAAGATCTCCTTCCGGGACTAGGCTTGGGAAGTTCTGTGGGGGGGTCACCCCAAGTGGACCAGGCCCTCTGTCCACCCCTGAGGGCTGGGCAGGTGTGGCTCCTTCAACCTCTTGCTCAGAGCTGGAAGCCCCTGAACTGCCTCCAGCTCTGACGCTGTCCATGCTGCTGCCTCTCCAGTGACCCAGAAGCTGGCCTTGTCCCTGGAGCTGTCCTCAATTTTATTAGGAATACACTGCAGTCCTCTGCCCTCTGGTCAGCCCTGGGTCAAAGATTTTTATAAAAATTGTGAGACTAAGCTCAGTGTTTTCTTTCCTCATTTCTTGTTAGTTGTGATTGAGTCAGTTGACTCACGGACCTTATATATAATCGGTGAGGCCCCTACGAACATATTGTATCTGAGAATCACACCCCAGCATCTCACTACCTGCCTTCACCACCCTCAGGCTGGGGTGAAGGGGTTGTTGGTCCCCCAGCTCTCCAGGGAGGAAGTCTTCCCCTAGGATGGTCCTGACCAGCCCCAGATCCCTGAGAAGTAGGCCTCCTGAGTGACCCAGGCTTGAAGCCACATACCACAGCTTGTATGAACCACAAGATTTTATTGACAAAGTCAAAGGGTGACCAGTGGGCCTGTGTGTGTGTGGGGTTGGGGGGGCTGTGAGCAGGGTCTTCTCAGGGCTCTTGGGCCCTCAGGTGGCCCTGGCAGAGAAGGGCCTGGATTCAGAAGAAGCCATGCTTTTTTTTCTCCTGCTGCTGCTTCCACTTGGCCATGCGGTAGAACTCTTCCTTTGACTTCCCAAAGATGTCTTGAAACTCAGCATCTGAGAGGTAGAACTGGGGTGTGGACGCAGAGGGAGAAGCGACAGCTGAGCCTATCATCTTAGGACCCAAGGCTCTCTGACACCTGTCTGCCCACCACCCCATCGAGAGCGTCCCCTCCCCAGCCTCCTGCCCACTGCCTGAGGCCCCTTCATCAGTACGAGGGCTCCCCCAGCTCGTTCAGAGTCATCAGTGCTGGGGCCGTGCATGGCAGAGGCACCCAGTACCCACCTCCTTGCAGGCTGGGTCCACGCCCTCTGGCAGGTCTTCTGCAGCCTGGTGCATCAGCCGTTCACGGGGCAGCACCCCAGGGGTCACAGGGCTGGGGCTGGGGCTGGTCGCCTTGGGGCCTGGCTCAGGCTCATTCTCTGAACTGTCCTGGGAGATGCCGAGAGCCGGGAGGGCCAAGGGCCTTGTCAAGCCCTCACGTGGTAAGCTGGACATCTGGAAGTTGTTGATTTCCTATCCAGAGAAGGATTTCAGGTTGAGGAGTTTAGGGTGGCCACACACTCTACTGGCCCCTCTTGTCCAACTGGCCCAGTTGTAACCTTCCCACCAGCCAAGGTCTGGCCATTTCCTTCACCCATTCTGACCATGCCCTTGGTGCCTAGAGCGCTGACCACCGTAGAGGAAGCCCTGGTACCCACAGCTGTGATCCTGGGGACATCAGGTGTTACTTCCAGTCTCCTCTCCGCCCCCTCCTTGTAGGGTTGGCTGTTCTGGGGACAAAAATCAGGGCTGGGGCAGGATAACAGCTTCAATGGGACCCAGGAGGGGGCCTGAGGATAGGGCTTCTCCCACCCACACTAGAGGTCCTGGGCAGGGCAGTGTTGCCTCCTGCCTGGCCAGGGTAGGCCCTTCTGCTCAAGATTAGGGTGGGGTTGGGGGGTTTCCAGCCTCACAGTCCATTTGTATGGGTCCCAGATGAGGAACCATCCTGTGAAGGTGGGAGGTTCAAGGCCCTGCTTGACCAGCACGATGGGAGTAGCTGGACTTCTTCCTGCTGGGTGGGTCCTCAGATACTCCTGGCCCCAGCCCACTGCCTCCTTTCTCCACACGCTTGCAGCTTCCCCAAGCCACAGGAAGACCTGAGCCAAGAGAGGGGGGCTGGCAGTGGGGCCAGTGGAGGGGCTCTCCAGAGCTGACCAGTCCATCAGGTAGTCTCAGAAACTGACACACAAACATCCCCTTTGGCATCCACACAGGAGGCCCCCACTGCCAAACTCACACCAGGCCACAGGCAGGCAGGTGGTAGAGACGCTGCAGTGTTAGCGTCAGCCTTCCTGATAAGGTAACATTTGAGTAAAGATCTGAAGGTAAGGGGGGGGGGAGGCGTGTCCCGTGTATGTTTGAGATGAAAGGGTTCCATCTGGTTCAAACCAGAATAAACAACCAGTGCAAAGGCCCAGAGGTTCAGGGAACATGAAAGACCATCATGACTGGAGCAGAGAAGCCGGTGGGAGGGAGAGTGTGGACAGGCCACAGAGGGCCTTGTAGGTTGTTGTAACAATGCTGGTTTTTACTCTGAATGAGGTGGGACACCTGCAAGCTACACTCACAGTCACAGACAGCCCCACAGGTGGACAATGGTTCAGAGACACATTACCATGGCTATATACAGGTGAGTGCAAACACACACACACAGTCATCCAGTGCCACATGGCCAGACGCAAGTCACACAGCTATATGCCATGGCACATAAACACAACCACACTCAATGACATGACATGATGCATGCTAAACTAAGTTACACATAGCCTAACAAGCCATAGTGTATATAGTGTATGACCACACTAAAATGACTACATCATTACTGTAAACAGTTCATCTGTTCAGAGTCACGCCCACAACCAGTCGGCCACATGTGCACGCTCTTTCTTTCTCTCTTGTGCTCTCTCTCTCTCTCTCTCTCTCACACACACACACACACACACGTGAGACTGTGTGTGGTGTGTGAGAGAGAGACACTCACAGCATCGCAAGTCACAATCAGCTGTAACAGCCAGATGCCGTCAGCCTCACCCAGCCACAAATGCAGAGGCCGCTGCTGCCACACATCATCACCCAGAACCCCCACACGTATGACATGGTCCGTCCCTGACATTGTCTCATGTTCACCACAGACCCTCACACCACAGGCTCACTGAGTTGCACACAACTTCAAAAGTGGTCACCAAGCACACAGTCCCAGTCCCCGGCAGTGTCATACTGTCAGCACCCTGTGACCTCAAAGTCAGAGAATCGCCCGCCCGTCTGATGACTTAGATGTACACCCCGTCACACCCAGCACGCCTGGTTCCCTGCTGACACAAACACAGTCACACCCCGCTCACACCCAGCCTGGCAGAGGGCGCAGCCTTACCTCCTCCCAGGTGTCCAGCAGCATGACGTCATGCTTGTCCAGGTCCTCTTGGCTGAAGAATGTTACTTCTGAGAGAACCAGGCTGCCCATCTGGCTGGAGCACTCAAACAGGCGGGGTTGGAAGCTGGAGGCCTCCTTGGGGAGCCTGGCCAGGGTGGGCACAGGGCCATGAGGACACTGAATCCTGTGCCTTCCACTAGCCTGGCCAAGGCCAGCCCAGCCTAAGTGACCTGTTCTAGGGCTAGAAGGTGACTTCTGGGGTTAGGAGGCATGAGGTCTCCCACACAACTAACACCAGTTACACCCCATCCTTCTCAGGACCTCAGCGGCCCTTTTCTGTCCAAGGTGAAAGCAGACTAAGCTTTGAGTTAAGGTCCTAGAGAAGAACACTGAGGAAGAGCACTGAGTATCCCATGGACTGTTAAAAGGACAAACATGTCTGGGTGAAAGTGCAGCCAGAGTGCTCCTTATGGGCAAGGATGGTGAAGCTGAGTCTCACGTACTTTGGGCATGTTTCTAGGAAAGGCTGCCTGTTCCTTGGAGAGGGACATCATGCTTGGAAAGGCGGAGGATTGGCGGGTGGGAGAGAGGAAGACCCTCACAGACATGGACTGACACAGTCACTGCAGCAGTGGGCTCAAGTGTATCAGAGATGGTGAGGAGGGAACACGACAGGGCAGGGTTCAGATTTGTTGTCAATTGGGTTGCTACAAGTTGTATTCAACTCGATGGCACCTAAGAACAACCACCACCACCACCACCTAACACCAGCCTCCCATGAATTTCCCAGGAAGGTGACACCAGGCTTAGTGGGAGGAACCCCAGAGGACCTAGCATTATAGAGGGGAGGAGGGAGAGGGGCACAGTAGCATTTAACTTAGACTTGGAGAGGGGGTGCTGTGTATAAAGCAGGCTCTGCAGACATACTGAGAGCAGCCTGGGGTTGGGCTCCTACTTCTCTGCCCACCTTTCTCTACACATCCTTCTCACTTACACATCACGCACACACACCTACACCTGTTCTTGCACACCACACATCACATATATTTCTCTGTAAGCTAACACGGACACAAACCCTGGGGATTGTGTGTTTGGGGAAGAGTCTTTGGACCCCTTGAGGGCGGGGAAATCCAGAGGTGAGTCGAGGCAGAGTTGACCAGCAGAGGGCACTCGTGTCTCTGCTCCCTGTTCGCTCAGGCTCTTTCAGATGAAGTTTACTGCTCAGTCTCATACTTCAGACTAGGAGAGGCTATTCCTCAGGAAGGGTCATCATGCTTGGAGAGATGGAGGGTCAGTGAAAGAGAGGAAGACAGTCTCCCACGAAAGAGCCCGCTATGATAGGTTCCCACGTGACAATACAAAGGAATGTGGGTGGGCTGTGCTCCAGGGAGACTCTGGAGCTGAGGTCCTGAGTCTCCAGTTCTGTGACTCCTAATTAATCACCCACCCTCTCTGTGCCTCAGTTTCCTCTGTAAGACGCATGTACTCTTCTCTTAGCCATTACCTCTTATTGCTGGAGTAAGGAGCTGGGCCCCCCAGGGCCTCCCAGAACTGGGGAGACTCCTGCCCCTCCAGGACTATTTCTTCGTTCTTCTTGGAGATGTGAGTAGCCACTATCCTCGCCATCTCCCGCTGGTCACCGCTGCAGCTCTGGGGGTCGGGGACAAAGACTGAGGTGAGGCCCAGCAGAGGGTGGGGGCTCCACCTTCAGACTCAAACTCCCATTCGCTGAGGGTGGAGAGAGCCTGAATCACAGGAGGCCTGAGCGGATGGGGGGCGGTCACACATGAGCAATGGATCCCCCTTCCGCTCAAGCCTGTCTCAGAGGAGGAAGTGCAACCAGGCTGTTCCGTGGAGCCAAGGAGGGTGAAACTTCATCTCACATACTTGGGGCATGTCGTCAGAGGGGCCAGTCCTTGGGAAAGACCTCATGCTGAAAAAGGTGGAGGGTCGGCAAAAAACCCTCAACAAGACGGGCTGACACAGTAAGTGTAACAGATGAGGAGGAGAGCACAGGATGGGGCGAGGCTTAGATCTGTTGTTCGTAGGGTCGCTGTAGGTTACAGCTGACTCTGTGACACCTAATAAAATCTAGTTTCCTGTCTACTTCAGTCTCCCATCTGAGTGGGCACAGATTCAGAGCACAGGATAAAGGCTCCCAGGCTGGGCTAAGAGCCATTCATGGATTAGGCTGAAGAGGAGAGAAAACGCTCCCAGACTGGACTAGGCTTCCCTTACCCCCAAGAAGCATGAGAGGGGTGATGTCCCTTGCTCATGGCAGGCAGGAAAGACAGGAATGGCTGTGTGGGCCTGGCTTGCTCGTGCCCTGGACTCCCCGGCCCGCCAGTCACTTTGTAACTCCCCTCAGGGCCGGGGGGTGGGGTTGGGGGGACACTGCACAGGTCTTGCCCTCCCGACACCTTCTAATGCCCATCTGCGGCTCTACTCAGGGTCCACGTGGTCCTTGGGGACACATCCATCTGACAGCACAGCCCCTGAGCTAAGGTGGGGACTACTGGGGGGGGGTACCTTCCCAAACCAGATGTAGCAGGCGTCAGCCGTGAGCAGCAGGAAGATGCCGCTGGAGTCGAGGGATGAGGCGCGGGCTGGCAGCTCCGTGGTCTTGGTGTTGTAGCTGTCGGTGCCTTGGACACGGAGGAGCTGGCCGGTGGGCGCTGACTGCCCCTTCTCATTGCATCCAGGGACCCCCTGCAAGAGGGCTGGGGCTCAGGCTGATGGAAGGGGCTCTCCCTTCTTGTGCCAGTGAGTAGTACGGGGTCGCGAGGGGTGGGGGCTGGTATCAAGCGCTGGTGGTGCAGTGGACGAAGCGTCAGAAGGCTGACTCAGCCCACCAGCATCTCCAAGAGAGGAAGATGAGCGTCTGCTTCCCTAGAAGTCACGCGTCTCCCAGGCCAGTTGTGCTCCATCCTCTACGGTTACCGTGAGTTGAACTGACTCAATGGCTGTGGGGGCTGGTCGTTGGGACCCTCTGAGTGGGGAGTGTGAGGTTCTGTTAGTCTATTGCCCTTGCTAAACAGACCCTCGCCTCATCTCTGAGGGGAGAGCGAGCAGTTCGCCAGCCTTTGAAGGTTCAATGTGTGATTCAGTATGTTCACCCGCTTTGTGCTGGGTTGGGGCCACTGCGGGAGGAAACCCAGACTGGTCACCCTTGGTGCCCAGGGATGTGCTCTGGGCCCCTGACCTGAAGGGAAGGAAGGTGCCTGGCATGTGAAAGGACCAGGGACACATGGAGGAGCTGGTGAGGCAGTGGCCACAGGGGCCAGGGGGCCGTACCTGGAAGATCACCAGCTGGCCCTGGAATATGGCGAGGAAGTGGGGTGGCTCATGGCCCATGGTCACGTGCTCCTGCACCAGGGCCCCGCCGTATAGGACGTCCAGATCCTCAGCCTGGCTGTTCAGGGTCTCGATCTGGTCGGAGGTGGTCTGGCGGCCCTGTAACAGCCCCCTCTGAGCTCCTCAGCCCTTGGGCTGTATGCGTCGCTACCCCCCTCAGGTGTCCTACCTGCCACAGGTAGAGGATGTAGTGGACACCGCCCAGCTTCTGGTACGTATAGAGGACGAGGTAGCAGTGGCCTGAGTACAAGTGCCCGTGGTGCTTGGGGTCCACGGGCTGCCGCTGGGAGTCCTGGATGCACCACACCTGTGGGAGGAGGCACTGGGGATGGGCGGCTCCTGCACCTGGACCAGCGCATCACCTGGTGCCTGGCCAGGCCGTTCTAGGCATGCCTTGTGGTGAGAGGCCTGCCCCCGGCTCTTGGCTTGCCCCAAGGATGGGAAATGCAGGTTGTGTGTGTTTTCTCCTGGGCGGACCTTGGTCACCTTAGACAGCAGCCACTCTGCACTCATCATCCCTCCAAGGCTGACAGCACTCTTCTCACCTCCACCTTCCCGGAGCCATCGTCCACCATCCTGAGCCGCGCCGCTAGTTCAGGCCTGCTGTGCAGCTTGCCTGCATCCAGCTGGACTTGCATTAGTTTACCTGGGTAAAGAGCAGAGGCCATCAGTGGGCCCCGTCCCCGCCAGGCCCTGCCCCACCTGCCCTGGACCCCTGCCACAGTTAGAGCTCTGTTTCTGGGGCCCAGCCCCTATGGCCAGCCGTCACCCGCCCTCTCAGCACTGCAGGCCTGGCTCGGGGCCCCATCCTCTCTGGCCATGTCCTGCTCCCTCATTCACTTTTTAAAAAAATTATATTTTACTATTAATTTTAATGAACGTTTACAGACTTTGGATTTCCATTCATTCCTTGTTACATTTTTCTCCCCACCCACCCCTCCCCCCAGTTCACACTTCTCTTTGAAAAGTAAAAGAAAAATTCTTTCACTGTTATACAATCTCTCCCCTGCCCCCCCACCTGCGTCGACTCCACTATGCAGCCTTCATTCTGGACTCTTGTCATGATAATAATACCTAATCAGATATCGCTTTTAATCAGTTCTCTCCCTCATCTGTTTCAATACATTATGTATTACTTATTCCCTCTTTCTCAGTCTTCCCCCAACCCCGATGTTGGTCCCGTTTTACAACAGTGGCACTATGCAATATTTGTCCTTTTGTGACTGAAATATTTCACTCACTTTTATGATGGAAGTTCTAGGCTCCACTCTCTACAGCCAGGCTCTGCCCCTTAGGCATCAGACCACGCCCCTAAGGCAGCTGCCCCTAGGCTCTGCCCCTGAGCCCCACCCCAGTTCCAGCCCTTTGGGCTTAGCCCCTCTGTCCACCCACAGACCCCCAGACATCATCCCAAAGGTCCTTCCCCTAGGCTCCACCCACCACGCAATCACACCCGGCCTCACCTTTCTCCCCGCCCCCGCCCTTTGGCTCCACCCTGTCTGCTCACCTGTTCCTTTCATGCCCTTGAACTGTTTCTCATGCCATCTCTGGAAGAGTTGCCTGAATGCTGCCGACTCGGCGCCATCATTCACCACCTCCACGTTGGTGTAGCCCGGGTAGCCCTTGGCCTGGATGAAGCCCTGGGGCGGTGGTACGGTCAGACTGGGCCCCATGGCCCTCTGCTCAGTTGCCTTCACCACCACCCCTCAGCTCTGGCTTCGCTGCCAGCACTAGTGAGCCCTACACAGGCTTAATAACGAAGATCAAGACCCCCTAAGTGGCTGACTCCATCACTACCAAAACCTCTGAAGTCCCTGACGTGGGTGGGACCAGAATCCCCCTCAGTCCAGGTCTTGGGAAGGGCCAGCCATGACTAAGATTCCAAGAGGGCCCTGCCAACCCCCTTAGAAAAAAATGGGGTGTCCAGTGCAGACACGTCCCACTTGTACGTGGAGTTTCTAGAAGGTTTCCAGGGTGCTGTTTGTTCTGGCCCAAGCCAGGACTCCCAGGGCAGACACATGCCCTCATGTGTGACAGGAGGGCCCTGTCCTCCCCAGGCTCCTGGCCGAGCTGTGTCTGCCCTTCACAAAGGGCAGTGCAGTTTCCCCTTAGACTCCAGGGCAAGGCCATGTGTTCTTTGATCAGACAGGACAAGATTATCTCCCCCTTCAGCGCCTAGGACTGGGATATCCACCGAAGCAGGTCTCCTTCTCATCAGACCCCACAGCAGGGCTGTGTCCCCTCAGGGCCCCGGGCCTCACCCCTGCCCGGCTGAAGGCTGCCTTTTTCTCGTGGAGTCTGGACCTGCGTCCTTGCCATACATAGATCTTGCAGCCCCCTTGGTCCAGGATGTAACAGCTCTGGGAGCAAGAGTGGGGCCGGTCAGTAGTGGTCAGGGTGGTAGGGTTGTGGTTGTGGGCTTGGTGTGGGTGGGGCAACCAGCCCAGCCTGCCTCACCTCTTCCTGCAGTAGGTCCTGAGTCAGTGGGCAGGTTGCCAACTCCTGGATCACGAGGTCCTTGCCCTTCTCATAGACCCTGGGAAGTAAGCATCCAGGTGTGGGAGGTCCCACCCTTTCTGACTAGGATTCACTTTGTCCCCTTGAGCTCCCCCGGGGAATGGAGTCTGGGGTCTCTCCAGCCCCCCAGAGGAATGGAGTCTGGGGTCCTGAGTTTCTAGTTTCACTGCGGAAACTTGGGCCTCTTGGGACCTCAGTTTCCTTGTCTGTGCAATGGGTCTTTCTGCAAAACAGCCACATATCATGCCGGAATACAGGCTGGCCTGAAGGCCCCAGGTGGCCTGTCCCAGAATCCCTAGAGCGCTTTCTGGAGGGGTTTCTATGGACGTGTTTATTGCAGTCATGAAGGACATTCCCCACCCTCCCTGTGAGGAGGTCTGCTCACTGGTAGAGGCGGACTTTGGCCTTCTGCAGCTGCGTAATACTCCTCCTGTTGGGCTTGCCGGCAGGCAAGTTGTTCCCTTTGCAGCCCAGCACAGCCTCCATGATCTGCATGAGTTCAGGAGCCTCCTTCTCGTCATTCACCACGCCAACCTGCGCACGACCACCACGCTCCTTGTCCCGCAGGCTGTAAGTCAGGGCCAGTCCCTGAGAGAGACGGAGACAACTCTGGTGGCCAGGGCTTCCCCAGCCTTCCGCCTTCACCCATCAGGCAGTCTAGTGCAGATCCACTCCCAAGGCTGGGAAAGATCGACACCTGGAAGGCTGTCCCCGTCTCCAGGCCTTGAACCCGCGACTTCCCAGGGCAGACACTGACCCGCGCCTTCTCAGCAATGCTGGACTTGGGCCCGTTCCACTGGATCATCACCTTGCCTAAGTCCAGCAGGAAGATGTCACTCACGTTGAAGCTGTCCCAGGAGAGTGTCACCTGCCAGAGCCAGAAGCAGCCCGGAAGGAGAGGGGTGTCATTCCACCAGACCCAGCTCCTGAGACACCTCGGTCCGTCACAGGCTGCTTGAGTGTCTCTAGAGCAGGCCACTGTGTGGGGAGGGAGCTGTGTGAAACTAGGTGTGCACGTGACCATGGCCCTTTACACCACCTGTCAAGGTGTGCAGACATACATCTGTGTAACCATGTTTGACTCCAAGGGTTACTCGATGCATCTCTCGGTATGTGGGTAAAGCTACACTTCACAGGAGGAGGGTCACTGGGTGTGACTCTTCTGCACATGCCTGAAACAGTACATGTGTACCTGTATGTGTGCATGCAAACGGGTACAGGTGTATCTATTCCACAAGCACATAGATGAGGGGTATATAACATAGGAGTGAAGTGCATTTACACACAGGTGACAGACACAGTGCACGTGTGTGGGACAGTGTGTACCTGAGAAGAGATCTTCTTCACAGTGAGACTTTTTTTTTTTATGTCACTGATTTACTTAACTTTTATTTTGGACAACCCAGTTTAAAACAGATAATTAGAAACAAGCAGCAAACAAACAGATGAAACTAATAAAAAAATTGATTGAAAAAAGCTGGGAGAGAAATTGGGTTTATTTTTAGTGTTAGGTGCACTTTTAAGAATAAAAGGGGACACGTGAGATAATGCTACCAGGATTACAGGTAAGACCTGGGGCTATGGGACATCCATGCATGAGCGGGGTTATGTGGTCACCAGATCTCTGGGTCCCTGTGTGTGGGTGGACGTGTGTGTGGGTGTCTGTCTGTAGGTGTCTGACTCTGAGTTACTTTGTAAGTATTGTACATACTTGAAAGTCTGTTAAATCACATCCTTGCCAGAGCGTGGCAAAATGTTTTGTTCTAGCAAAACCAGCATCTTGTGGAAATTTCCTGGCAAATATAAGCAAAGGTACATTTTCTGATTTACACAAAGGTACTATATGGCCTAGAGCGCTTCCAAGAGAATTATGGGTAGATAGTATGTGGACCTACAGGCGACAATGAGGCTGTGAGTGAGGGAGTGTGAGTTACCACCCCCCACGCCAAATCATTCGGTGACCACTGTGGCAAGTGATTACAAGTGACCTGGTGGCCACCGTCCTGTCTGCCACGCCTCCCCAACCTGGTTCACGAGTCAGATGAGGAAACAGTGGCAGAGATGAGGCTGGAAGCGTTTTCTTTCTTCTCAGTCAAGACTGGTCTTTGGGGACGCTGATCCCACGGCCCTTGTAGGACCCACTTCCCACTTCCCGATCTCCACACTGCCCTCCACTCTGCACACTCACAGTCTGCACGCGGGTCCAGGCGCATCCCTCACCTCTGTGGCGGACACGTGCTTCCTCCCTCTGATGTGCAACAGCCTCCGGATGCTGTAAATGTCGGTCTCCACGTGCATGAGGCCGGAGGAAAGGCCTCCCTTCCTGTAGCTGAGGAGGGAATGGCAGCCATGTAAACGCACAGACTACCGAGTGCAGAAATGTGTGCAGATGCGGGCATGTGTGTGCATCCGTGCAAGTGCAGAAATACGTGCAGATGC